GGCAGGGCTAGTTTCACAAACCTTCTTGGCAAAACATAAGACAAACAGATTGGATCATTCTGGATTCATGTTTGAATTTTCTTGAATTGTCACTATTCTGACCTAAAGACAGATCCTGTATATTTTCCCAAGATGGATAATGTTGGACATGTTTTTCCTGCCATTTTTAAATGCACCTTGGTCCTGCTTACGAAACAATCTATTTCAATTAGGTGAATATGTGCATAAAATGACCAGCTTTGTCTTCAAGGCATTTTAAGGATATTCCAGTCTTTTAGAGCATTAGCCTTTTCTTGATTAATTTGGAATTCCAGTATTAACATCTGGTTTATTCTTTTTTAAATAAGGAAAAAAATTCCTCAATGATCTCTATTGACTGAAGTTTCCAAAATAATGCTTACTTTCACATCTTTGCAGTTAAATTAAAAGTCAGTACTAACAAAAGCAATAGTTTGCCAATAAATGCAAACTACTTTGGCCTTTCCTGAGTCCTTCTAAGACAGCTCACTCCTAGAATAAATGACAGTAGCATTTTCAAAGCTGCTAAATTATTCCAATCCTACTGAAGCAGATACTGTCTGGCATGAAGGATCCTAAGACTGGTGAATCTGAACAGACAGGAGTAACTGAGTGAGCAGAATTCACTGTTAAAACTGTGATAAAGAGCTTAAGATAAAAGGAGAGATTTATATTGAAATAGCAGCTTACAGTAGCAGATCAGTTTAATTTACTCCACCATGTAGTAAGCAAAAAGCGTGTAAAAGGTGGGTAGACAGATTTGACTTGTGGATCAATATTCTGTTGATCTCTGGCCACAAAACAATTAATCTCTGCAGTGCAGGACAAAAGTAACGGGGAATTTAATGTCAAATCAGTTAACCACAACCTGAAATTGAAAAAGCAGTATTGATAATGATGGTTAGCACACGTTCCTCCTATTAAGTGATATCATCCAGTGCATTCATTGTAATGTGTTAATTACACAGTGCAGTCAGCTTGATCTCCTAGGCTAACATCATAGCAATCAATTCCAGCAGTGTCTCCACCACTCTGTTAAGAACTACATTTCCTTAGCTGATTCTGAACTTCTTAGAGAAAAATTTAATTTCAGCTATCTGCCATAGGCTCTCTTTATCTACAGAGCTCGGATTTTGGAGGGAACACAAGTCTTTGGAAAATAAATTTTGACATAATACGTCATTATTTTAATATATGTGGAAATTCCATTTGGAGACCAGCTTTATTTGTCAGGTGAGACTTTAAGAGACACAAATAGATTCATTCTTCTTAAAAAAGGAAAAGAAAAGAAAAGCATGCAGGGACTGATGGCAGAGGGAGTGATAGTAAAAAAGAGAAAACAAGAGGAAACAGATAATTAAGCTCTTCCAAGAACAGGATATTTTTTAAGGAACAAATAAAGACAGTGTGCATATTAAATTAATAATGGAGAAGATTAGAAAAAAAACCAAAAACACTATGCAATTGTACTAAAATAATAACTGCTTGAAATTACAGGAATATTCCAAAGACTAACATTCTTACTTCTGGGGGTCCCCTCAAGTAGTTGACAACTCATCCCTTATTTTAAAAAAGTGAGATCTTGTCAGCTCTCTCCTGATGCTTTGCAGTTTTACCATGAGTTGTTCACGTGAATAGCTCAAACATTCTTTTTCTTGTCCCTCATCAGAACCAAGGCTTCTCAGTTTTTCTCATGAAAGAGGAGTAGCCAAACAGACACATTGACCATGTTGGACTGAGATTTATTCACTTCATTTCAGCCAGCTGCTGGAGCTACCTGATCAAGAAGTAGCACTGAGGTTCCAGTGCCACCATGGGACACAGAATTGCCTTCCCACACAGCCATAAATCAGATCTCATGGCATCAGCTGAGTGCAAGAGAGCCACATCCACTTGGGTGAATTTGGAACAGGGCACCTTCCCTTTGTGACAGACACTGCTGTAAAACTAAGCCAGGTAACATCAAGACTCATGTGGTGGGACACCTCAATAAATGTCTGCTCTGAAACTAGTCACTCAAGGATCTCCCTGTAAACACACAGAAAATGGGGTTTTTTAAAGGTTTGGTTCATCTGATCTATTTTAGCTGTCCACAAACTAAATCTCAGAAGCTCCTGTTTCTCTCCACTGACTACAAAACAAGGTTCAACAGCCACCTTAGGTGTAAGAAACCACAAGAAATATGAATTTGGTCAGATAAATGCATTGCCTCCTCCTTTCACTGGCTCTCCATGTATCATCCTGTATCTTACTGCAACTTCTCAAAAAAGCATTCTTTCCTATCATGCACTCTTTTTTTTTTTTTAAACAACCAGTTATTTACCTGCAACCTCTGCTATTAAAGATCCTTGAAATGAACAGGATAGAAAAAAAAATAATATTTCAGGAAGACTTTTTGCATGAGTTAAATGAATTTGTTTTGTAAATGCTTCAGATACAACAATTATATCAGTCATTAGGGATTAAAGAAACATTCTTAACCCACTGTAACTTACTGTCGGCATCTGTAATATACCTTGAGGAAGAAACATGAACCAGAGCTACAAATACTTGAAAGTTGTAGTGGAAGACCAGCAGAAAGGAAAAAAAAGACAACAGATAATGTAAGTATGTAAAGGGGCAGTACTGTCAATTAGAACTAATTTTTCAACGAAAACCCCTTTCAGTGTAAATATTAATACTACAAAGGCATACTGCCTCTGCTGTTAAAGAAAGTATGTTTGTAGATTCACTGGGGGAGGTAGAGGAAAAGAATTGTTGATCCTTCATCATGATCTGCCATTATTGACTGTACTAAAAATGAATTATGGCATTTTAAGATACTTACTGATATTGGCAAAACTCTTCCTGAATGAATCACTGCACTAGAAATCAGGGAAGAACTATTTAATCAAGATCACTGGTCCAAATGCAGGTAAAACTCAAATGAGTAATTTCTAAACTGAAGCATATTGGTAAACCAAAAAATTAATTACTCCTGAATGAATTACACCTTAAATTAAAGTAACGCTACCGAGTACCTGCAAGACATGAACATTCTTAAGTGCATCTTGTTAGCACGGCAATATCAGGACCCTATTCCCACTTCAGAGGCACTTACAGCTCAGATCTGCAGGGTGCCTTTTTCCCCTAGTTGCCTCAAAATGTCAAAGGATGTGTCAAACATTTAAGTACTCTTCCAAAGTGCCAAAGGAAATATTACAAGGGTGTCTCTAGAGTCCAACAGTGATATCAGAGAAGTAACCAGGTTAACTCAGGCAGCTCTCAGCAGAGAGCAATGCCAAACAAGCAATTTTACACCAGCTCCTGGTGTATAGCCAGTGGTGTAGCTTACCAGTTACAGGTTACAGGTAATGTGGGCTTAAAAACAGCTACACCCATACCTCTGCCAAAGGGGCTTGAGTCAGATGTACACAGGGGATGCCCAGAGAAGAAACAGACAAAGCAAACAGTTCAAATTCAAACCCATCTCCAATGCTTAATTTTTAGACTAGATCTCATTGTTTATATTCCAGGTATTTTCCTTTGTTGCCACAATGTGAGCTGGAGACACCAGAAAACATGTGGATGGTTCAAATATGCAATAAAGTTAAGTGATGGATGTAGACTTGTTTTCTCTGAACTCTGTATCAAACCATTAAACATTTGATGTTACATTCTCTGCTGCTGTAAAGACAAGTAGTTCTACTTAATCCCAGAGAATTGCACCCACTCAGACCTGTAAAACAATCTAACCTCCTTCAGTGATGAGTTTGCCTGCATATCACTCAGGTCAGAAGCACTTGTCTGTGTTTTCTTGGTTTCTACCTTTTAATGGCTGCACTTTGCCCTTTTTGCCAAGAGGGAGCTAGCAAGTGAACTCAGAGCAAGATAATATTTTTGAGTATGAATAATGTTTATGCCCCACCAGTCCAGCAACCATTCCTTTTACACTAATGAGCCGTTAAAATCTGTGTTAGAGGATCACTAATCTTTCAGGAGGTTAACATGTAGCTCATCCAATTCTAACACTTTGATCACAGAAGCAGGATTTTTGGGAACAGAGCATGTTTTATTAAAAAGAAAAGAAAACACATGGAAAGAGAAATGCATTGTTAAGACTTAGGAGTGCCTGTGTTATTTCAGATATTTATACAGGAATAAAAGCTTTGACTCTGATCCCATTTTTTCCACTGTTTGGTCCTGCAATGACATCAGCCTTCAGACATGATTAAAGTCTTGAAAAAGCAGAGTAGCATAAAGTCAAAGATGGGGCAGAGAATCAAACATTAATAGCAGTGACCCATCATAACAGCACCTCATAAGAGGCATCTGCTGTGCATCTTCAAGACATTAAGCATGGACTGAGAGAGGCTGCCCCCCTTTGGGACAATGGAGGTCACCAAGAGGCCCCCAAAAATGGGGATTCTCCAAAAGCCCAGGTCACCAAGTGATGCATGGTAGACACAGATAGTGAAGCTGGTACTTAAGACTCTGTAACCTGAGTTTTAGCCACGAGGAAGAAAAATATCTCTAGTGGAAACATGAAGCTCAGAGGGCTCATACGGTGCAGCAAGCAGAATGCCTATGTTCTCAGCAATTCTCAATTCTCAGCTGTATGCAGCTCAGAAACCAAATCTTCTGCAGAGATAAAGCTGGAATGTGCCCTTGTTTTCAGCAGGAAAAAGAGGGGTGGTTTGGTCTCCTGCCCTCTCCTGGTGTTAATACTTGGTTGTGCCCTTGGTGGCCTCAGCAGACATATTTATCAACAGCCAGTGAAAAAATAGCCTTCAGGTCACAGCATCTCACAGTCACATGCACTAAACCCTCCTTTTTCAAATGCAATCATTCCTTTTTCAGCTACATCACATCCTTTGAGATGGATCTTTACGTTTTAATTCACCTATGAAATTCACTGGAATTATTCACAATATAGAGGAGGGTGCAGGGCACCCAGCTATACTGCACGTAGTATAAGAAAATTGAAAATCAAAAAGGCTTACCAACAGCTCTCTGCTCTCTACAGTAACCTGTCAGCGCCGCTTCTCTGCAGCAAGTGACAGCAACAGGAAATGATGGGATGCTGACTGCTCTCTGCACTGCTGGGACCCAATAATACAGTATTTCCTTTGTGGTACCAGAGGAGATACCTAGACCTCAGAGATGAATTCTCTAAGGACACTGCAAAATATTATCAGCCTCTTTCTGAGACATATGGAAAAACACTGAAAAAATAACTGAGTGATCTCCTGCTGCCTGTAGCTGATGCACAATTTGGTGAGCTCTGCAGAGCTGTGCTAAACAGAAGCATCTGTACATTTCCTGCTACTGCTATTCTAGGTTGGCTGTTTCACTGTAGCAATGTAACAAAACACATACCAAATAGGAAAACTGACTGTGGCTGTTATGGAGATGGCTTTATTATATTTTATATCCTCACAAATTATCACAAATTATTATTAGCAGATCACAAAGGTTTTTTTCAGTGCTCCAGTCACTACTCGAAGTTCTTTGTTAGATCATTTCCAATAATCTATTCTGAATGTCAATTAAGAGTGTTCAAAACAGGAAGGACTTTGGCTGGGTAGTGAGCACACTATCTCAGTTCCCAAACAACCCAAATTCAACTCATTGCAGGCACTCATCAGAAAAAATATGGATCTTTCACGTCTCAAAACTTTTATGGCACAGTGTCTTGATTTGAAGGACAGGTGCCTGCTAAGGACGGCAGGAGCTCCCCTTGGAATGGAAAAATATGAACTCTTTCGGAATTATAATAATTTTGAAATTAAGGGGCAAAGATACGGGAATAGGAATAACAGTTCTTTAGTAAAGAACTACTACGTATACAAACAACAACAACTACAGCATCAACACCAAACAGAACCGGGAAGCCAGCGACAGTCTTTCCGCTGTGGCGCCTTCCCTGTCAGTGCAGTTCCCATCACAGCCAGCAGGAGCGCTGGTGGCTCCCAGTGGGTGGGGCAGGTGCTGTGATTCCCCCAAGGCTGCAGGGGGCGCTGTGGCGTGGGCACGGGGAGCACGTGGTGATGGGGGAAGTGTCAGTCAGGAAGGGATGGAGGAGGGATGGAGAAGGGATGGAGAAGGGGCTTCTTTTATGGATCTCCAGAGGGCGCTGGGATTGGCTGCCCATCAGTATAGCAAAAGGAGCTGTAGCAGTGTGAGACACAACTGCTCCCTTTAAAATTTTTAAAAATGTTTGTTAAACCTTAACAAAAATACAGCAAAGGACTACATAAGAAAAAAGCTGCAGTGCTGGGAACTGCCCCTCGTGCATACCACACAGCCAATTAATCTTCAAGATGGATGCTCAGTCTTTTATACCCCTGGGGGTTGCATCAGCCAGTCCTGGCCCCTCCCAAAGTCTGTCAGTCAATTCTTCTTTGCCATTTATTGATGGAAATCATTTTCTTGTAACTTGATTGGAGATCAGGTGTTGCCATGCCACACCCCCAAAGCACCAAGCCTTTCCATTCCCAACTGCCCCATGCAAGGGACACATGGACACCTTCTTTTTACCTGTCCTAGACAACCCTGGCTGTCTGATGGCAACAATACCGGGGTGGAAAGGGAACTATGGGGAGAACAGAGGACATCTAAACTGCAATAACATAACTATACATCACTAAAGCTTTTCTTAAGATTCACACAATAGTTATCTTTTAATTGTGAGAGCCCATCATCTCATTATTCATCTATAATAGCACGAAACCTCTGGAGAAGCAAGCTGAAATGGCAGGACATCTGGCAGGCAGAGGGGAAAAAGCTGCAGTGCAGCACAAACCCGGAGCAATGGCAGAGGTACGGTGTGGGTTGGGCAGTAGCAGTATAACTCTGGGGTACAGTAAAAAGTTCCTTGGGCTTTTCTCATTGGCTCCGGTGGTCCCAGCTCCTGGTGGGGCATCCACTGGCTCTGGGCTCCCCGGCAGCAGAGCAGCAAAAGAAGCCAAGCAGGCAAGCTCAGTGTCAAAGCATAAAACAAAAGCCAACAACAACAACAAAAAAATCCGCACCCAAAAAAGCCCAATAGCAACAATAAAAAAAAAAAAAAAAAAAGAAGAAGCAGGCAGGCAAACCCCACAGAAACTGGAGGATCCCTGGTCAGAAATACCAGCCAGGTGTGTTCAGTCTAACCACCCACTCTCGCCTCGCCCCCAGCTCTCCCCAGAAACCCTGGCTCAGCTTCCCTTTGTCACGACAGCCCCAGAACCAGAGAGGACGGCAGGTGGGGCAGGGACAGCTGCCACCCCTGAGCACATAACCAAGCAAAACAGATCAAAAACCCCCAACATGGGATGGGATAACAAACAATCCCCAAGACACATAGCCTGATTTATGCATAAGAAAACCAAATCTCTTTATGTTGCAGAATAGAGAGAAAAAAGCATCAGTTCAAAAGCCACTCTGTGTACTTCCCATATGGATATGGCAGTGAACAGTGTGGTAGAAAGAAACCTTTGTTCTGCTGTGTCTTGGTTTCTACAAGTAAGGAGAGGCAAAAGACAACAGCAAATAGATCAAAAGTCCCTGAAACTCACAAAGAAGGATGAGTAGACTTAGCTCAGAGGAAAAAAAAACCAAAAAAAACCAAGAGGTGTTTTAATAACACCATGCAACCAATGAGGGTGAAGATAGGGTGGATTACACTTTCTCATTAGTAAACAAACCTGTGAAGACCACGTCCTTGTTGTGCTCAGTGTCACCTGAGAGAACAAACCAGGGTTTCAGAAGCCATGTTTGGTCCATGTGCAGGACAAAGCAACAGCACCTCTTGCCTCTGCTTCCAAGTAAAATCATGTGATTGTTTCTGCAAATGCCCTAGCAAAGGGCTGTGGAATGAATGCACATTAATGTCCAGACTAGGCCCTGTCCAGTAGTTGCCCAGTTGCTCTGGCTGCATTATTTTGCTGTTAAACAGCTCTAGCAAATCTTTGAGAGTTACCCAAAACAATGAAAAAAAATTTTAAAAAGTGCCAATAAAATAAAATAAACCCTCAACACTGAGCAGGTGACAAGGATATTTTTAAATATATTTATTTTATAAGAGATAAACAAGACTACTTTGTAGGCAGAAACACCCTCTGTTTCTGTTTCTTCAGAAATATTTTCCACAAAGCAAGCATGAGTTTCAGCCATTTCTTATCAGAAATTGAAGCTGACTAAATCGTTCAAAGAACATCTGTTTTAAAAATACCCTACATCATATTGTAGACTTCAGTGAAAAAAATAAATTAAAAAAATCACTTGCAACTGGATGTCTAAGAGATTATAAATCTAAGAAGACATGTACAAGTAGAGATAACTGGCTGTGGTTTAATACTGTAGCTAATTTTGTCAAACTGCCCATTTTGTCTGACACACATTCTACTAGTTATTGAGTTACAGCTTCTTCAGTATATTTATTGATAAGAATCAAATGATTATTCAAGTTGACTCTAACTGGCATTACTGTTGAAATACTGAACTTCAGTATGACCAAAACAATCATAAATTCATAAACTGTTTGCTCCTTATTACATGAATGTAAAAAGGAGAAAATGTAATGTCTTACTCCTAGACTTCAAAAATTTTAGGAAAAGTAAGCCAAAAGACCTTTGAAGTGGAGTATGGAGAAGGAGGAGGGTGGGGTGGTGGGAAAGGTATCCTAAGTGTAATCTATCTAGCATATCTACAATACAGACAAATGCAGTGAGCTGGCAGCATTTTATAGTGCAACTCCATAAACAGTTGGCATGTAGATGGCATAACAGTACCACTAGTCAAGTGTAAATCTGTGTGCACTGTGTTCAGACTGCAGCTAAGAAACTTTAACTATCAAGACTACAATGGAACAATGAGTAGGTTTTACTGAAATATAAGCATCAAAACCCTCTTTCTCCCCATGAAAAAACAAATCCTGATCCTTATATTACATTTGATGTGGTTTAGAATGCCTATAGTTGTTTTTCTGTGTTTCCAGCAAATGCACTAAAGAAGAATCATGGCTGTTTTAAGCCCATACACCTTGATTTACTAACCTACCTCACTTATTGGAACTATTGCAGAAAAGGCTGCATCTGTATTTGATATATTGGCAGAAAATACTCCAGTTTACAAAAAGTCATTAGCTGTTTATCAGAATCGTGACAAGCAGACTTGAGAGGCATGAAGTAAATGAGCAGTTGTTACATGTGAATTAAGTAAAGCCAAAGCAAGATGCATGATCCCCTATTCCAATCTTTTCTATAGTTCTTCCTGTGATTCTGCTTCCTCTTATTTACCTGAAATAAAGTCTAAAGACTTTCAATATCCAAAAAGATGAAGAACCCACTACTCCTCATGGAAGGCACTCACCAGTTTTTTGATCAGAAAAAAAGTTTTAAACAAAGTTGTCTTTCCTTCACAGCCTTTGGCTTTACCTCTTCCCTGCACCACTGACATACATTAAAGGTGTCTCCCTGTCACTCAAAACCATGAGTAACATTCTGTTACCACCTGCTTAGCTCCTGTAACCTGACTGAAATTGTAATTTAACAGCAGGCAGAGATGTTGGGTGTTACTGAAGAACAAGGCACTGGGAGGCAGGCAGACATTCAAAGTTCTGGCCACACAAATCATCAGGCACCTCTGAGGAAAGGAACTGTGAAACCCTCAAGCTGTGACCGCCAGGCTGTGCCTTCAGCAACCAACAGGCTGTGTTCATCCTGGAGTTCCTTCCTGTAAGACCCCTGGATTTTGCTTGAGAACAACCATCCAAGTTTCAAGGTGTGGTTACTCACTGGCTCACTATCAGAAGCAGTGCAAGATAAATGTGACTTTGGGCAACACTGCTGCTTGGAAGTAAGTATTTTGCCAAATTTTCCTGCTTTGCATGGCAAAGGTACCGACAAGGTACCTGAGGAGAAAACAGCTGGACTACAGAGAAACTTCCAAAATGCTATTCAGAGTCTGAATCCATCTACTTTCAAATTCATGATTTTCATACCTTCTTCAGTAATAAATATTATCATAGTTCCCTAATATTCCTCCTAAAACACCTTTAAGTTTTACTGGTTTTAAATCTGGACACTCTAGGTACTTCATCTTACTGTAATTCTTACTTCTATACTTTATTTTTTTTTAATAGCAACTATTTTCTTAAAATGCATTGAGAACAGATGTTTCTAGTTTAAAAATTCAGCTAGTAACTGCATTTGTTAGGGGGAGGGAAGTGGGGCAAAAACCCACTTAAAGGCATAGGGAAGGGGAAAAGGGGGAAAAAATGCTCATTTCTGTAGCAATCTT